CTAAGTACTGTAGTCAATTCTCACTGCAATTTTTGCAATCACCACATAAGTGCCCTTGATGTATAAGCGTTATAGACTTCTGCTCGGTGAAAACTGTGCCTGAAGCTCAAAACTCGGTCTTAAAGAAACATCAATCTTACTGTCCACAAGATCCCCAAGGCCCATTGCTCCTCCTAACTAGAAGTAAAATCTTTGTTATTTTTAGAGAGAAGAACACACTGTTTTCCAAACTTCTGATTATATAGGTGTGTGTGCTGACATTTCTGTTTTAGTCTTGAATCTGAGTTTGCTTCGGGTATCTCGAAGTACCTTAAGCACGTCTGCCAGAGTTAAATGTATCACAGGGAGTTCAGAAGTTGCTTTCAATCCCATACTGACAACCTGTATATATCTTGCCAAGCCTCCCCATTTCCTGAAAGTACTATTTTAGCTAACTAAAACTTTTCTTGCTGCCTCGTATTTGCTTTATGTGTGTTTATTCTTTTAATTCTTCTAAAAATGCTATGAGCATTATAATGTCTGCACTACAGATGAGGACATTCAAGTACAGAGAGTTTTTATGTCCCTTTCTCAAAGCCACAAAACTAATATGAAGCTGAGTAAGGACTTGAATTCCAGCAGTAAGTAAGAGGAAATAAATAGCTTGGTAATTGAGTTTAGACAGAATATTAAATTTGGCATATTATAAACACCAACAAAGACATAACTATAATTTTTCTGAGTAAGACACATGGATATGAGTTAGCAAAGAGTTGGAGAAGAGTTATATAAAGTCAAGAAGCATAAAAAAGTCAAAAGGAAGTTAAAAACAAATGTCAATAGAAACAGAGCCAATAGTCATGATTTTAACATGGGTTTGTCTTCAGCATTTTTGTTCACTGGAGTGCCTCACCCATGATCACACAGTAAGTGAATATACTTAGTGAGGACAGACATTTTGATATGATCAAAAGACACATGTGATTGGAAGTGGCATCTCCTGAAATCCTCGCTGTGTTTATAATGCATCTTCCAACAGCTAGTTTTGAATGCTTCTTCAGAAAGAAGCATTGGGAGGACTAACATAAAGAATGAAGAGATGGTGGTGTCACTGAATGACACACAGTTCAAAGGAGGAGGGGATTATGTGTGTATGATGATCAAAACAAGAATCTCAAAGGCCTTGAAGAACAGTTCAGGTCCAAATTTATGCTGACAGCAGGAGGAGAAAGTAGATTCTAGGTATACTGCCAAGGGAAAGTTAGCTGAACTCAACGCCATGGATGCAGGTGGGTAGAGGAAAGGCAGGATTATCGTGGTGTCATTCTGTTATTACAGCACTAACAGGAAGAGCTAGGTTAGAAAGGATGCAAACTAGGGGCCAGAGAGATATTTTTAAGATAATGAATTTGAGACAGTAAGATATCAGAGTGGAACCAACCATCAGGTCATTAAAACTCACAGAATTGGAGTTCAAGCCCTGGCTATAGTCTTGTCTCACCTGCTTACAGGGAATAGTCAGATTCTATTAATAATGTATAGGATTATAGCCAGTTGGAATAACAAACAGACAAAAGAAGAAATGTGTCTAGGTAGTTAGAATGATAAGATTTAACATTAGGGTACTCTAATAAATTAAGAAACCCAGCCAATGAGACAGTAAAATGGGACCCAAGATAGACAATGGTGCTATGCAAATCAAGGGATGTTCACAAAACTGGCACGAGAGGGAAGTCAGTTAGGAGACAACAAGAAGCTAATGAAGTTTGTTTATTTTTTTGCACAAGACTCTAATTGCTCTTTTTTTTTTGTTTAAAGCAAACTTACCCAAATTTTAGAAACTCCAGATCCCATAGAACTAGGCATAAGGAATGAAGTTGCATGTCACAAGCTGTTAACACCTTCCCTCAAAATGCCTTTGCATTTGAGAAAAAATGAGAAAGAGGGCAGAAGAGACAAACAATGAGGCAATCTTCCATAGAGAGGCGCCTTCAGAACATTCATGGAAAATGGAGTTAAAAGATGAGCTTGTTTTGGTGCAAAAAATTTAAACTCCATGTGTAGTTTTTTCATAATATACATTTTCCATAAATTTTGATGACCCTTCATGTACCCTAAGGTACATAGGATTAGTCTAGTTTTCTCACACGTTTAGATAGATGCTCAGCAGATGCATTTAAATAATATTTCTGGACTAGTTGGTGAGTTCCTGTTGGTTTGAGAACTCTCTCTATGATAGAGTAAGTCAGGGTTCAAAAACTGGCACAAATAGATTTGGACAGAGCTCAGCGTTTCTTTCTCCTCCTCCTACTGAAATTAGCAAAGAGCAAGGCATAGGATATGCAAGAGGAAAGGGAAAAAGTAAATGGATTCAGGTTTCTGCTGCTTCCCTCTCTTGGCATGAAGGTGCAACTGAAGTTCAGAGGTCAATGCACCCATCCCAACATGGAGGAAGGAAGCTGCAAGGCCAGAGGAGCTCACAATATAGGCCCACTGCTGTGTGATGGGGCACATGTCAGCATTCAGAATTTACTACCTGCTCTGGATGGGAGTGTAGCTAGACCACAGTTGCTGCAGGTCTATACATACAATCAATCTTTGTGTCTATTTTCCTCCCTTCATTATCTGGCCTGTGGCAGGCCTGATCGCAGACTCCTACAGAAATATAGGTATATCTTTCATGACTCATAAGACAGGTTTTCTATGCTATTCCTGAAACGCTATCCTATTGTCTCTACAGAGAAACAGCATTTCAGAGGGTGACTCTTATGTATAAAACAGAGCTATGCCCAAATTAATAGTTTTGATAAAATTCAGGCATTTATCAAGCCAGCATGTTTCTTAATGTATTTTGTACCTTAAAGACTCAGAGTCCTTATTTATGCATCTACTATGTATCAAGCACCACACGATATGAGGCTTTGAGAATGGGTTTAAGGAACTTAACTAAACTTTTGAATAATTAAGTTATTTTAATAATTTCAGATATAGAAAACTTTCAAAACCAAGATTTCTCTAAAGTCTCTTTTTTTCTCATGCATCACTGCTTTTTTTTTTTTTTTTTTAATAGCCTTTTGCCAAAGCATAATAAGGAAGTAAATGCCTTGATTTCCCAGAACGGATGAGACGCCTCTAAACGGCATAGCACAAACTGTAAGGAAAATGAGCTATCCTGAGGCTAGGAGAATCTTGCACAGAACCCAGCAGTTACCACCAATAACACAGTCAAAAAGAACTAGAAATCAGTGAGAAATGCTATGCCTGCCAAACTAAAGGTAAATATTGCTAGAGGGAGGATTTTCATTCCTGATTCAACCATAACACCCCTCCAGCTCTGTGGTGTTATGGACCCTAATTCACCTGCTTAGCAAGAATGCTGCCTATCAACAAAATTTAAGCATTTTGTAGGGAATTTGTCAATTTTTGTTTTTGATTAAGGGAAATTCAGGTCAGGTATATTCCTAAATCGCTAATGGCTGCTGAGTAAAAACAAAGTCTGCAGCACAGCAGGATCTTAACCACTGGACTGCATCTGAGTTTGTGATCTCCACACTCAGCTGAGACTTGGCCTCGGACCCCAAGCACAGCAGCCTTTAGAAAGGAAATCTGCACAGGCCCGAGGCAACATTGCTTCAACTTTTCCACCAAAGTGCTCCCAACTGAGGAGAGTGAACCACAGCTGTGAGGTTTACCAGCACTCCCTGGTCTCCAGTTTGAGCTTGCTAATTCCCTAAAATTAATGTAAGTTAACTGACATGTAATGTATTTCCAAGTTTACTTTAATATAGTAATAGTCAATATTTACTGAGTACTAACTACTTGACAGACACACGCTGTCAAAATATCCTTACCCTTTAGTTTCTGGCCACTTTGGTTTACTTTCTGTTATAATCCTATCAAATAGGATTAACCAGAAACTTCTTACCCTTGAGTTTCCTCATATTAGTTTTCCATCCAGGGATGCCACCCTGCTCCAACATTGCAAATCCCAACCTGTCCTTGTGGAATTGGGAATTGAGTCCAGTCTCTCTCCTACCACAAGATGTCCGTGCAAAGGCCCCCTGAATAAAGTCTGCCTTTCTACCTTCAACCAGTGTTTGGATGCATTTTTCTTGAACAGGTTTCATTGAAATAATAATATATTATTTCTGCTATCATTTTTATAATGAGGAAACTTCAGCTCAGAGGGGGTAAGAAATTTTCCCAAGGTATAAAGCCTATTAGTGAATTTTATAAATTCATCATACTCACAGTGGAGCCCAGTACTGGTTTTGTCACTAACAGCGTGACTCTGGGAGAAAGTGATTTAAAATTCTGAGTGTCAATTCCCTTATATCTAAAGTGAAGCTAGATCTGCACTCTAGCCAACTGGTAAAATTTTCAGAATCAAGTGATCAACATCAAATGTAACTCAAGAAGAATGTTTCAAACAGTACAGTGTTACAGAAGTATAAAAAGTGTTAAAGCTGTAACATTGGTACTTTTGGTGATATATTATTTCAAATAGGGCATCAACTACCTTTTTACAGAGTGATACTAGACACCATTGTGATTTCTTTTTGTGACTTCTTCCTAGAGCACTGTCTTACAATTATCAAATTCTCATTGGACTTACACAGAAAGTTTTTTTGTCAATCATTATGTCATCATAATGCACCATCAAACTTTTTTCAGGAAACGCATCATGAGATAAGAAAATCCAAAAGCTGTGTTTAAAACAAGCCAAGATAAAAAAAATAAATAAATAAATAAAACAAGCCAAGATGTATTGTGAAACAGCTTGTGAGTGGTGCCCCTTTACGCTGGACCTCATTCTGAACCATCTGGGGCAGCCCTTCAGCCCCAGTGAATAGAGACAGTAGGGCTCTATATTCTTTGAGTCCTTCATTAAACTATTGATCCCTTCAGCATTATCCATAATGTTCCAGCAGCTCAGCACGTCAACTGGTGAAGTGCCAGGCTCTCGCTCCTTTCAATAACTTCCACACTTTGTGGAGAGGAAGTCACAATGATTTATTTACCTGACATTTTCCAGTCCGGATGTCGTACAGGGCCACTGAACCATGCCGCGCCCCCACTGCTATTCTGTGATTCCGCTCGTAATAGCTGACCATGTAGAACCTGAATTGAACATTTTAAGGACAACAAAAACAAAAACCAGGTGAGTTTACCTGCACATGGAAGTAGACAGCAGCATGTTTCAAAGGCTGAAGTCAGCTCCAATAGGCATTTCCAAATATTATTAAGGTTTTCCAAAAATATCTTATTTTTAATCATTCTTAAAAAATCAACAGAAAGAAAAATGGCACAGAGAATCATTTAGTCCTGTGAATTGTTATTTTCAATAGAAACCATTTCATAATCACAATACCCTTGACAAATGCAAAAATGATTAAACATGAAAGTCCAGACTTGCAATGGTGGCTATTATGCAAATACTTCTATTTGAAATGAAATGGAAAGAGGAAAAGGCTTACATTTAATTATTTTTTCCTGGTTTATAATACTATTAAGGAATAAAATATAATTTCTAGCAGAACAATCATAAAAAGACTCCATGAATTTTATGCTTAAATTCATATTAGTAATTTAAGATAAATTAGGAAGCTGTCCACCAGAAAAAAAAGTTATCCTGCGAATCTCTGAGATTTTCCATATTTACCAATTTATCTAAATCATAGCTGCAGCTAAAGGCAGTAGGAATAAGTGTATTTGACATTTATTTTGAGCTGCATAAAAATAGGATGCAGAGAGGATGGTTTGAAGGTCAGTTGAATTATTGTTTATACTTTTCTATATTTCATAACTAGATTAAGTACTTAATTCCTAATTTATTTTGTTGGGCTGATTTCATGTCTAAATGACTAGGCTCTGAAGAAAAAAAATTATGAGAAATGTTACCTAAGGTATGATTTTGAATCTTTCAAATAGACCTTCCCATTAACTAGTTCTGTGGTTACAGTGTGAGTTGCCCAGATGAACACGTGGTCTGCCCTGAATATTTACAAGGGTTTTATTTCAGCTGCACCCCACCTTCCTCGCCTCTTTCCCCTTTGGTTCCGCATGATCTACTTCTCTGTTATTATTTTAGAAAAAGAAAGGTGGGGAGGTAAAACACAACAGAAAAATAATACTATTTCTCTAATGCTTCCCTGAGGTACGTTTAGAATAAAAAACTACTATGGCATGGGACAACATTTCTGAAATTCTAAGAAGAGAGGCTGAGCAAGAGATGTGTTAATGTGAGCATTTTGAAACCAGGGACAATCTGACCAAGCCATGTTGGCATTCTCAGACATCATGGCACTGACATACATTGCATACATTTGTAAAAGAAATCATTTAGGTTTAAAACTTTGTTTGCTACTTATTGGCAAGTAATAGAATAAACAATATTATATCTGTAAGCCCTATCATTAAGCTTCCCCCATGACAAACTCTTTCCTCTTTAGTGGAAGATTAATACTTCATCTTTAGTCACCCACAGAAGACATTTTTTTTTTAAGATTTCTTTTTATTTATCTGAAAGGCAGAGCAACAAAGAGAGGGAAAGAGAGACAGAGATCTTCCATCCACTGGTTCACTCTCCAAATAGCTGCAATGATCAGGCCTGGGCCAGGCCAAAGCCAGGAGCCAGGAGCCAGGAGCTTATTTTAGGTCTCCCATATGGATGCAGTGGCCCAGGAACTTGGGCCATCTTCCTCTGCTTTCCCAGGTGTACCAGCAGGAAGCTGGATAGGAAGTGGAGCAGCTGGGACTCAAAGTCCCAATGGGACGCCAGAGTCACAGGTGGCAGCTTTACCTGCCATGCCACATTGTCAGCCTGCTAGGCTTTGATTTGCTCAGGAATGATGCTGTCCTCCTTACATGTTAGCTTGAAGGATGAAGAAAATATAAAGCTCCTGAAGCTACAAAGTGCTTAGTAAAAAGTAAGTTTCTTAAAGGTTTTCCTATCCAAAACATCATTACTCAATCTCAGTAGAGAGTTTGAATCTGCATTCAAACTCTAATGTTCTTCTTTAATTAACACAGAATTATTCTTAGGTATTTAAATCCAATTGAAAATTGATCCCTGTTAAAAAATAAGAGTGGGGATAAAAGAGGGAGGAGACATACAGTTCAGGACACTATCCCTCGGACTTACCCTTAAGGGTAAAGCTAAAAACTTAATGGGACTCCAAATCCCATTAAGTTGGCAGGTACCAATGCCATCTTCCTAGTTAAAGTGATGAGTTTAAGTTCATAACTTATCATAAAGATAGGATTAAGTGTCAAAGGGATCACATAAATAAGACCAGTGTCTGCCAATAATTGATAGAATTAAAGAGGAGAGAACCATCCAACATGGGAAGCGGGGATACACAGCAGACTCATAGAATTACAAATGCCCTAAATAGCAATCTGGCCTCAGAATCAGCCCTTAAGGCATTTGGATCTGGCTAAAAAGCCCATGAGAGTTTCTCAGGAATGGAAAGCCCAGACATTGTGGCAAAAAATGATCCCACTGAAAGATCTCTGTGAGTGAGATCCCAGTGGAAAGAACAGGCCATCAAAGAAGGAGGTACCTTTCTCTGAAGGGAGGAGAGAACTTCCACTTTGATTATGGCCTTGTCTAAATAAGATCGGAGCGGGTGCCAGGGCTCAATAGGCTAATTATCCACCTGTGGCACTGGCACCCCGGGTTCTAGTCCCGGTTGGGGTGCTGGATTCTGTCCCGGTTGCTCCTCTTCCAGTCCAGTTCTCTGCTGTGGCCCAGGAGTGCAGTGAAGGATGGCCCAGGTCCCTGAGCCCTGCACCTGCACAGGAGACCAGGAGGAAGCACCTGGCTCCTGCTTCGGATCAGCGCAGCACATCAGCCACAACGCACCAGCCGTAGCAGCCACTTAGGGGGTGAACCAATGGAAAAAGGAAGACCTTTCTCTCTGTCTCTGTCTCTCTCTAACTCTGCCTGTCAAAAAATTAAAAATAAATAAATAAATAAGATTGGAGTTGGTGAACTCAAGAGGCATCTATAGCCTTGGCAGCTCATGACAAGAGCCTCGGGTGATTATTGAAGTCATAAATAAGAGTGTCAATTGTTAAATCAAAAATAGGAGTCAATGTGCACTTATTCCCCATGTAGGACCTCTGTCCTTAATGTGTTGTACTATGAGAATTAATAGTAAAACTAATCTTCAAACAGTACTTTATACTTTGTGTGTCTGTGTGGGTGCAAACTGTTGAAATATTTACTTAGTATAGAGTTGATCTTCTGTATATAAAGAAAATTAAAAATGAATCTTGATGAAGAATGAGATGGGAGAGGGAGTATGAGTTGGGATGGTTTGCGGGTGGGAAGATGGTTATGGGGGGAAGAACTGCTATAATCCAAAAGTTGTACTTTTAAAATTTATATTTATTAAATAAAAGTTTTCTATTAAAAAAAAAATCTAATGTTCTTACACTTGAAAATGAAAATTATTTAGTAGAATTGCAAAATATTTACTATCTTAATATTCAATCTATACAGTGGTCTAAGTATTAAGGCACCACAGTATCTGTATCTATGCCTATATCTATACACAGATAACATATTTCCTATTAGAGCAACACAGATTATAGTTGTCAACAAATGTTTTAAACATTTATTCTGTGGAAGCTAATAACCACAGGAAAATAAAATTTGTAGGGGTATTTTACCTTTTATTTGTACAAATGTAACAGCTGTATCACCAAGATCCTTCTGTAAAATGAATACAATTACTCCCAAAATAAGCTTTTCTAAAACAAAACCTTGGTAAAATGTATTTTTTGACAAATCACACTTAAATTAGAATCTAAAGTTTTTTGTTATACTGCCCGTTTTCTATGCTTTGGATTTTAACCTCATCCTTCTATATCTACAAACACCATTATTTATGGGAGAAAAAAACATCAAAGGCATTCTTGGTATCAAATCTTTAGTCTACCTGAAAGGACTATATATTACAGGGCTGCATTTTTCATTCTTCACAATTTACTACTAGAGTAATGCTTCTAAAAAATATCTTCAAGAATTCTAGACAGTGAAGGTCTTATGGCATGTTTTATCTACATTTTCTTTTATTAATAGAAAGCTTTTATTTAATAAATATAAATTTCATAAGTACAACTTTTGGATTATATCAGTTCTTCCCCCCATACTCCTACCCCCAAACCCTCCTACCCCCAAACCATCCTACCTCCTACTCCCTCTCCCATCCCATTCTTCATTAAGATTATTTTATTTTATTTTATTTTTATTTGAGAGGTAGTTATAGACAGTGAAAGAGACAGAGAGAAAGGTCTTCCTTCCATTGGTTCACCCCCAAACGGCCGCCACAGCCGCCACTGCACCGATCCGAAGCCAGGAGCCAGGTGCTTCTTCCTGGTCTCCCATGCAGGTGCAGAGGCCCAAGCACTTGGGCCATCCTCCACTGCCCTCCCGGGCCACAGCAGAGAGCTGGACTGGAAGAGGAGCAACCAGGACTAGAATCTGGTGCCCATATGGGATGCCAGTGCCGCAGGTGGAGGATTAACCAAGTGAGCTACGGCGCCGGCTCCAAGATTCATTTTTAATTATCTTTATATACAAATATCTAGGTTTTCTCGTCAAACTTTGTATTCCTTTAACGGTGGCCCTTTAAGAGAAGGCATCTCTAGAATACATGCAGTCATTCTGCAGGGATCCACTGTGGGGACTGTATGCAGTGATCCCATCACTGCTAGGCTTCCAAAGCCCCCATTGTTTTCGTCTACCCTTCTCCTTGAACAAATTCTCCATTTGGGGGTCTGTCAAGATGAAGTATTGTAAGATCTGCATTACTTGCCCCAGTCCTAGAAGGAATCAGTGGATTACAGTAGAGAGTCCATTATCCTATTCAATATTGTTCTAGTCTAGACTTGGTTCCATATGGAAACCCTGAATTATGTTAAATCACTGGGGTCATGTAAGATGATGTGTGCTGAGCCTTTTGGAAAGGGATCTCAGTCTTCAGTTCACCATGTGAGTATCATTCGTGGTCAATAACCTGGCAAGAATCTTTCTATTATATTCAACTTAGAACAACAGTTCTCCTCTACTAGGTGGACACAAGGAAAAACTCTCTTAAGCCAGTGAGAACATTACCCCTCTAACAGATGAAAGAATGAAGTGGAATGGTG